ATCTACTGAGCTTTGCAGGAAGACAGACACTGTTCATCTTGTTTCACTGGGTTTCTAGAAAAGTAGGGGAGAATGTGAACAAGAGGACACTCTACCAAAGGAGCTGTGTGCCCCCAGTGAGGGACATGAGGCCCAGTCAGGTGGTGGGGAGCGGGTGGGAATTAGAGCCCACCTTCCCTGAGCAGAGCCTGGCTCCTTTAACACCCACCTCTCCCTTCCCCTGCCTGCCCCCAAGTGGAAGCCCTTCTCCCATTCTGGGCCCTTGCTGTTGTGTCTGGTTCCTGCGGCCCCTGGCTGTAGTACTCAGCTGAGAACAGCAGAGAGCAGCTGGAGATCGTGGCTGGGCCAAGGCTGAGCCAGCCCGCTGAGATTCCTGGAGTCTGGAAAGATAATTGGCTCCTGGAGGCCAACACGACAGTCAGGGCCTCCTTCCCTCACCTCTGCCAGGCTGCCAGCACGAAGCCCAGTTTTCTGGCCTTCTGACCTCAGTGAAATTGGCCGGGTCTGTGGCAAAATGGCTAGAATCAGCTGAAAGGAATGTTTTTTTTATAATGGCCTCTGCTGTCAGACCTGCTGGGCATTGCAGGAAGAATGCCATCTCTCTTGCTTCCTGCAAGCATCCTCCGGCCTTAAGAGCATGGGGGAAATGGCTTTGCCGTTAGCTTCAGGTGAGTGGAAGGGACCACCGCTCCCCATACAGACAACCCAAGGTCCCAAGCAGATCTCTCTTTTCCAGCCAATAATTGGACATTACTCTAGCTCATAATTGGGGTGAGAGAGGGCTTGGTTGATGGGGCACAGTGACCTGGATTCTCACCTTCCCACCCCCATCAAAGCTTCCCAGTTCTCAGCAGCTTTCTGTTGGGCAAAAGTAGTGCATTGCAAGGATTTGTTCCGAAGAGGTGCTAAAAGATGGTGTAAGTTTAATTTCTCATCCTTCCCCCCACCTCCCCAGATCACTTAGCTGGTACCTCACTGGAAGCAAGCTCATACCCCAAGAATTCATACCCCAAGAACACATTCAAGGGAATAATAGGACTTTTAGCTAAGTAGGGTTTCTCAACATGTGGTCCAAGACCACCTACATCAAAACTCCTCTTACACGGAATTTGAGAACAGACTAAGCTAACCCGTGTTGACAGAATGATGGCTACCTGGAGAGAGGGGAGGGGCTATGGATTGGGAAAGGGCATTTGGAATGTTGGAACTGTTCTTCACCCAGATCTGAATGGTGGTCAGACTGGTATAAACACATGTGAAAGAACATGTCTGTACAGGTACATATGCTGGTATATTTCCTGTACCACAATCCATTCTTGCAGCAGGATTATTTTGCCTTTACAATATCTTCTAATATCTAATAAGAGGATCTATTTTATTATTTTTCTTTTTCAAGATATTTTGTCATTACCGCCTATCTTTCTACACATTTTTCATGATGAGTTTCAAAGCTCCTTTGTCAAGTTAAAAATTACCTCGTTGGCCATGTCTTCATTATTATTATTACAGAGTTGGGTGTGGGCTCCCCAAACATATCTTATTTAGTGATACCTACATAATTGGTAAATCTAAGAATCAAAGAAAAGCAGAGGAACAATCAAATGGTTTCTTCAGGTCTGGAGTCTGGGCACAGCTTAGCTGTGTTCTCTCCTGGGCTATAAGTAAGGTGTTGGTTGGGGCTGTGGTCTCATCGGAGGACCTACTGGAGAAGGCTCTACTCCCCAGCTCACATAATTATTGGCAACACTCAGTTTCCCACAAGGTGCTGGGCTGAGGAACTCAGGGTCTCTCTGGCTGTGGACTGAAGGTTGCCCCAGTTCTCACCCATGTAGCCAACACAGCATGTGATGGATGTTACCATCTATGTAACATAATCACATACATGCTATCACATATAATCCCTCACTTTTGTTATATTCTCTATGCCCTGAAGCAGGTCATGGGTTCTACCCACACTCAAGGGGAGGGATCACCCAAGCACGTGAAAGCCAGATCATGGGGCACCTGGGTGCCTCAGTCATTAAGCGTCTGCCTTCGACTCAGGTCTTGATCTTGGGGTCCTGGGATCAAGCCCCGCATCGGGCTCCCCACTCAGCGAGAAGCCTGCTTCTCCCTCTCCCACACCCCCTGCTTGTGTTCCCTCTCTTGCTGTGTCTTTCTCTGTCAAATAAATAAATAAAATCTAAAAAAAAAAAAAAAAGCCAGATCATGGGGTCATCTCAAGGGTCTGTCCACCTAAGCTGGTTACATGCGTATTCATGTAATTTTTTGTTAAACTCCGTGTGTGTGTGTGTGTGTGTGTGTGTGTGTGTGTGTGTGTGTGTGTAATATTTCTAAACCTGCGCTATGTTTCACAATTTTAGATTTTTCCAACTGTAAAGCATTTTTCTTTCGATAAATTATGTTGGATCTGAGTGTGTCCAGCAGTAGCCAAGCAAAAAGAGTCTCATGGCCATAAGTGACCAAATCTGAAATGAAGTCTAGAAGTGACTCAAGTGTTCAGGAGAGTTGACTCTTTTATTTAAAGATACTAGAAGTTGCTGCGAATGCAGAAGGCGTTCTGCATGGCACTTGGAAACTTTTGAATTGTTTCAGAATCATTTCGGTGCCTAATTTTTACTTGAAAAAGAAATTTGTTTTAACCTAAAACTAATTTGAAAACAATCAACATTCTTGCAATGACAACCATGTGCACAGACCATCTCTCCAAAGATTGAATCTTCTCTAATATCCCTCAATAAAGTTTGTGGGTTGTGTTCATTAACTACCTCAGCTCTCTTGCTAAATTTATCCCTAGATATTTCATATTTTTTGTTGCTATTATGAATAAGATCTTTGTTTTTAAGTATGATTTCTGCTTCCTGTTCCTATTCACCAGGAACATGACTGAATTTTGGATATGCACCAAGATTTTTGTTAAATGACTGTGTTTTTTTTTTTTAAACGAAAGTCTTTGTTAAGTAACTAACGACTCTGCTCCCATACTAATTTTAATTTCTGTTTTCGTAGGTTCTCTAGGCACATGATGGGGATGTCTGGGAACTCTGGCATGTTTTGCCTCCTCTTTTTCAGTGGTTATAATCCTGATTTATGTCTCCCGGAAGCAAAGTTCTTAAAAAATATTAACCTTCAGAGTCAGATAAATCCAAGACTGTCAGCAACGTTCTTGGGCAACCCGCTTAACCCCTCTGTGTCTCAGTTTCCTCTCTTGTAGCCTGGGTCTATCACAGACTCTTCCTTATTGGGTAATTGCGAGGATATGATAATACTTACTTTTAACAGTGTCTGTCTCAAAACTCAGCACATGTTAGATTGAGCATAGTTGTTACTGTATTTTAAGAGGAACTTAAAGAAAAATGATAGAGAAGAGATACCCAGGTTATTAATACCATGCTGAGTGGTGGGAATAGGCATAAACTGATGTATGATGTATGTTGCATTTCCTTCCTCCCAGAGACTGTGCTAGGGGTTTTCCAAGCATCTTCTTAATTGACCAACAGCCTCAGGGAGGTATAATAGTTGTTCCAACATCACATAACTCACTTGGACGAAAGTGGGACTCAAGCCCAGCCCACCTTGCTGCAAAGCTTGTGCTTATCTCTGTTGGTCCATCCTGAGGAGAACATCAGACATCCATTTTGCCCAGGGGCTCTCAACCTTGGCCAAATATTAGGAACATTTGAGGATTGCTGGCAATGTATCCATGCCTGAGCCCCACCACAGACTAAATGGGTCTGGATCTTCAAGGGTGACTCTAACATTGCTATCCTTTCAAGGCTCCCTAGGTGATTATAATGGCCAGGTTTTGAGAACCACTGATGGCCCCAGTGTGACTTCTACAACATTGACATTTCAGACAGTGATCATGGACGTCTGGAAGTCTGGCCCCATTTTCCAGATGAGTTCAAGATGAGCTTAAGGCATCCTCCCTTTCTTTACCATAAATTAGTTCATCCTTGCCACCGGTGATGATTGTTTTATGCACCAACTTAGCTGGGCTACAGTGCCAGATTTGTGGTCAAACATTGCCTTGGATGTTTCCATCAAGTTGTTTTCTGGATGAGATAAACATTTAAGTCAGTAGACTTTGAGTAAAGCAGATTGCCCTCCATACCATAGTGCTGGTGGGCCTCATCTAATCAGTTGAAAGTTTTCAGAGGATAAAGACTGACTTCCTCTGAGCAAGAAGGAACTCTGCAACAGACAGCCTTTGGACTTGCCCTACAACTCTTCTCTCGCTCTGCAGCCTGCTGTTTTGCCCTGCAGATTTTGGACTTGTGTCTCCACAAATTCATATATATATATATATGTATATGTATCATATATATGATAGATATATATCTATCACACACACACACACACACACACACACACATCCTATTGGTTCTGTTTTTCTGGAGAACACTGACTAATCACTACCATAATGGAAGCTGACCTCTTGTTCAACACAGTCATAAGTAAAGCACCCTACTTTTGTTTTTCTTTGGAAACCACAACTAGAGAACGGGTGATACAGAGGCATGGATTTTCAGTCTAGGGGAGAATAATACAGATCACTCAGTCCACATGAAACAGATGCACGAAGGCAGAATTATGCCTGGGGTGATTTTGCCCCTTAGGAGACATTCGGCAATGTGCAGAGACGTTTTTATTGTTGTCACAGGGGTGGGGGGGTGGGGCTGGGGGCTGAGGGCTCAAGGGTGCTACTGGCATCAAGTGGGCAGAGAGGCCAGGGATGCCACAAGACATCCTGAAACACACAGAATTATCATTAAAAGGCAAGACTGCCAGGTTGCGAAACCCTGGTTAGGATGGGGAAATAGTCGTTAAGGAAATTAACTTCTCACCCGGTGAAAGGAGGGGGATTGCAGTCACATCAGGAAGGAGCTCGAAAGAGGCCCTTGGAATCTAACAGGCGGACTGGACAAACAGGCGGGGCAAATATCACGGAAAAGGCCAAGTAGCTTCAGGGAAGCTCTTGAGAGACCAGCCCTATGTGGAGGGAGGACTGGGAGTCCGGCCAGTGGGAACCTCACAGGCGCGATGTGGCTCGAATTAGGCTCCTAAGCGGCCATGAGCTCAGAAGCTCTCCCAGAGACGGCAAGGGCTGAGCACGAGACCAGAGGTGGTGAGTGGCTGTCTTGTGTTTTGTGGCTGTGGTTTGTGCTGTTGTTTTAAGTACTGGGGGGCCCAGTGGGCAGAGCTAGGCAGCCAGAGTTCTGGCCTTCTCCCTCTCTCTCTCTCTCTTTCTGTCTCTGCACACAGCTTCACATCCTCACTTCTCAGGAGCAACAGGGCTGCATCCCAGGGGGTGACAGCCATGGGGGGATGTTCCAACATAAGCAGACAGCTCACGCTCAGCAAGGTTTAGTAGAACGTTCCCAAAGAAGTGCAAAAGGTGAATTAGTGATAAGCAAGCAACACTGCAGCCCCTTCGTCTGTAAAACAGGGATAGGAAAACACCTAAGGTGGTCGCGTGAAGCCAATGGGATGACAGAGGGACAGGGCTGAGAAAGCTGACACCCCAGAGGATGTTTCCAGGAGGACATGCAAAACACAGAAAACCAGAAACGCAGCACTGCATTGACATGGATGGCAAGCAGCACACTGACCAAGGGCACAGAAGCCGGTCCGACACACAGGTTGGAGGGGCACGTGAATACCCAGGGAAGCCTTCCAATTCACAGAGAGCTCTGTACGCGACAAGTGCTGGGTGCTGCCTTTAACTCAACTGGAAACTCGAGACTAGAGAGAGACTGGGAGCCTTCGCTGATCAGAGGAAGAGCTGGAAGGGAGGAGCTAGAAGGAGAGGCGGGCCTTCCCGCCCGTCAGGCTCCGGGGAGGAGCTGGGTCAGCCCGGGACACCACACGCTAGGACAGCCAGGGGAATGACAGGGACCAGTTGATAGAGAGATATAAGACCCTATGGACTCACTTACTCATGATGCAACCGGCAAATCAGAGTGCTGCATTTCCCGTAGCCGCTGTAGCGAATTCCCACCAACTCAGTGGCTTAAACCCCAACGCATTTACTCTCTTACAGTTCTGGAAGTCAGAAGTCTGACATGGGTGCCTTCAGGCTAAAATCAAGATGTTAGCAGGGTCACGGTCCTTTTGGGGGGCTCTCAAGGAGAGCATTCATTCCCTTGCGGCTCAGGGCCCCTCCTCCATCTTCTAGGTGGAGGGATGGGGAATGGGGCGGGGGAGGGACAGAGTCCTTCCCACATCCCACGGAGTCTCTCCGACTCTTTCTCTTCTGCTTCCCTCTTCCACTTCAAAGGACCTTTGGGATTATACTGGGCTTGCCTGGATAATCCTAGATAATCTTCCTATATTAGGGCCAGTTTATTAGCAACTCTAATTCTGTCTGTGACCTTAATTCCCCCGGGGCCATGCAGCCTAACACAGCCACAGGTTCCCGGGATTCACGAGAGGAATCAGGGGTGGGGAGAGAATCGTGCTGCGCACCACCAGGTCCTGGGCTGTGCAAAGCATGCCTAGGACAAATCAGAGGTGGTCTCTTCTCTCGTAGGGGGTGTGCCTCCTAGAGAGGAGACAGATACAGAGAAGGAGTCCTACGTCCCAAGTTTTAATAAATGATAGAGAACGCATAGTGTGGTCCAGGGATGGAAAGCTATGGTGCACAGTGTGACAGTTTTCAGCCTCACGGTGTCCGGAAGCCTCTGAAGAGGTAACGTCTGAGCAGAGCACGGACTATGGAGGAGGAAAGCCATTCTGAGGCTGAGCTCCAGGCAGAGGGAGAAGCAAGCACCATGGCCCTGAGGCATGGTTAGGGGATTGGGAGAAGCCAGCTGTGTTGCTGGAGTAAGGTGACAAGGGGAAGAGAGGAGGGAGACGAGGCTGATGACAAGTGCAGGTGTCAGATCAATGGGTCATCGTTGGCCAAATGGCTTGGGTTGAAATCTAAGGAAAATGGGAAACCACAGAAGGGTATTTTAGGAAGGGTAATAGCACACTCTGGCTGACATTCAAAATGCTCAGTCTTGGAGCTCCGGGCTGGCTCAGTCAGTAGAGGGTGTGACTCTCAATCTCCGGGTCATGAGTTCAAGCACCACACTGGGCGTAGAGCCTGCTTAAAAACACACAGGTGGTCTCAAAACCCTGTATCCAGGCATCTTACTAAAGCAGAAAGGTATCAGCAGAAATAACATAAAGGGCTAAATAAACATATTTTTAAAATAATGATAAATATGGGCACTTGGGTGACTCAGTCGGTTAAGCATCTGCTTTTGATTTCTGTGTAGGTCGTGATCTCAGGGTCCTGGGATCAAGCCCCAAGACTGGCTCCATGTTCATCCCAGAGTCTGCTTGAGCTTCTCTCTCCCTCTCCCTCTGCCCCTCCCCACCCCCATGCATAAGAACTCTCTCTCTCATATACATAAATAAATCTTTAAAATAATAATAGATACAATGCTCAGTCTTATTGCTGAGAGCCAGTGGATTGCAAGGGAGACAGGGGGAGGCAGGGAGAGCAGGACAGAGACACTGCAAGGGGTGCAGGAGAAGGTGGGGATGGCCAGCATGGAGTGAGCAGAACAGGCAGCAGTGGGGTCGGTCATACCACTGGAGCCCACAGCAGAGTTTATGTTGGGCGAGAGGAGCAGTGAGGGAACAAGGAGGGTTAGCTTCTTGGCTTAAGCCCGTGTGTATGTTGACTGAGACCGAGGGAGGATGGGTGTGCACGTGGAAAACCAGTGGCTTCCCTTTGGCCTGAGGGCTCTTTAAGGGAAAGGGCTAGTGAGCTTGGAGAAGAGGTCCTTTGGGTCAGGGGTACACGACACTCCCTTCCAACGGGTGAGTGCCTGTCACGGGGAGCAGAGATCCTCTATGCCCTTAGATGCCAACACAAAGCCCAGGGAAGGCCAGGTAAACAGGCAGACTGCAGCTCGCCTACACCTCTCGGGATGGAAGGGGCATCAGCCGTGGGGTCTGAGGAGCTCGCAGCCTCGACTCTGCTGTCACGGGGAGTGCGATTGGGACAAGTGACTTCAAGTCTTTGCAACTCCATTCACTACTCCTTAAACAGCACAAATAGCGCTACCGTAATGCTAATGATCATGGCAGACATTCAGCTCGTGCCTTTCCTGTGCCCCAGGCATACCTTTCCAGGTAATAACACACTTGCCACTCGCGGGAGCCTGACGACACAGGTGCCGCCGTCGTTGCCCCCCTGGATAGAGAGGAGGCTCAGAAAAGGGAAGGGACCAAGAGCACATGGCAAGTATGGGGAACAGTCATCACACATTGTACTGTGTCTACAGGACGCAGATTGGAAAGTGCTTCTCCTTCATCACGACCTACCAGGGATGTCGCCTGGAGCGCAGTGTGTAAGGTCATGAAGGTGTTGTGATGGTGGAATGCTGTGCAGTTTCAGCGTCAAAAGTAAACAGCCTCAACAGTCTGAAATTGCAAGCGGGAACCAGCAAGTTGGCGTAAAACATGGACCGAAGGCAAGGTATTCCGCATTTCGATTTCAGATCCAGTCCCACCGAGTCTCACAACATGGCTTGGATCCCATCTAGAATGTTCTGTTCCATTGCAGGGGTCCCTTCTTGGAGAGGCATCCTAACAAGCTGGAACCTCTGTGATCTGATGAACGAGATCACATCAAAACAGGATGTCTGTCTCATGCGAGGACACCAGGGACTGATCCGTGGATGACGGATGGGAGCAAAGTATTTGTCATCGCTGAAACTGATGTGTGACTATAGTCGACCCTTGAACCATGGGCCCGTCAGGGCGCTGACCCTTCTGCACAGTTGAATATCCACGCATAACTTTTGACTCCCCGCAAAGTTAACTACGAATAGCCCACTGTTGACTGGAAGCCTTACAGATAACATGAGTAGTCGATTGGCCCATGGTTTGTATGTTATATGAATTATATACTGTACTCTTTCAATAGAGTAAGCTGGAAAAATGTTACTAAGAAATTCCTAAGGAAGAGAAGCTATGTTTGCAGAATTGTCAACGGGGACCCGCACAGATCAAACCTGCATTCTCGGAGGATCAACTGTATCCCCATGATGCACAAGGGACTTCTGGAAATTCCCAAGAAAAACAGCAGTGGGGACGGGGGAATAGACAAGGATATTAACAGGCAAATCATAGACACAGAGACAGGAAGCCTGACCGATCCTTTAAGGAGAATTTCCACCGAAGCAAATTCCCAGAGGCTTGAAGATGAAACTAGGGCACCTGTTTGACTGGTCGCGCTGGGAAACTGGGTGACTCACTGGTGAGGGCAGGTCCCCGTGTGCAAGGGACCCGCAGATCTATGGTTTGGGACCATGATGACTCAGCAGGCGATGCTCCGTGTTGGTGGGGATGTGGCTGGGGCAAACTTTCTCAAGTTAAATAAACTCATTACTATCTAGAGCCCAGTAATCTGTCCCCACAAGGGGACAGCTAGGAGCACATTCGCTGCTGTACTTTCCTTGAGCTGAAGGCCGTCTGGGTCTCCGTCCCAGGGTAACGATTTCCCATTTGTCCAGTGAAGCTGGTACCATTTCTCCCATTTTACAGATGAACAAGCTGAAGCTCAGGGAAGCAGAGTAACTGGCACAAGGTCGTACTGCTTGTAAATGGCAAAGCTGAGACTCACATACTGGTTCCTACATCAGTGTATCTGTCTGCCTGACCACCCTCTCATGACAGGAAAGAAGAGGCAGAATTAACGAAAACCCTTCTTTCCTGTCACTCTCACAGCTCCTGCCATCTTGTATTCCTTCCTTTGTTCCAGATAAAAGCAGGAGAACAGATAAGATTACAGAAAAAAGAAGTCTGGAAGGAGTGACGGTAGAGGAGTCATTCTGACCTCCTAGATTTCTGACTTCAGTTGAGATTTTTACCTGGGCCCCTGATAACGTTTTGCATCATAAAAATTCCTAAAAGAAAACTAACAACAAGCATATGCTGAGCCCAGTTGCCAGGCACCATTCTAAGGATTTTCTTTCTGTGTCAGTTAATCCTCACAGCAACCCCATGAAGCAGGTGGGGTGTTTATCATCTTGCTTTATAGGCAAAGGAGCAGAAACCTGAGAGGTTAAGTAACTTGCCCAAGGTCACACAGCTGGACCAGGAGCCCAGGCTGTCTGAGTCTGGGCTCCATACTTGCAGGAAGCAGGACTTAGCCTGGGAGGCTGTGCTGTGAGGCAGAACCACTAGCCTGAATTAGCTTCTGCTCTGCTCCAGGATAACTTTGCTTTGGACAGATCACAGAACCACCCTGAGCCTTGGTTTTCTTGGCGACGGGCGTGGATAGAGAAGGTGTTCCTCCTACGGTTGTTATAAGATGTAATGTCTGCAAGACAATTAACAAAGGATTGTCAGCCATGTGTCATTGTTGGGGGATTGCACATGTGTTCCCTAGAGGGATCAGTGCCCCAGAAAGAGTGTGGGATGCTGTGTGTGGCACGTGGACCCTGTGAGGGTGGCCAGAGGATCCTGAGAAGCAGGCGTGGGAGGAAGGGTGGTGAGTTCCTTTAAGAGGGAAGTGAAGGAGGCGGGGTTGAGACGCTGCCCTGGCAAGGAGACAGGGTGGGTTCAGCTGACCCGATGTGGGCTGGGAAAATCCAGCCAGCGTTGGCTCCAGATGCTTGAATGGGGAAGGGAAAGACATGGGGGAGGGCCAGCCCCCAGGCGTTGGCACCCGGCAGATCTGACTTAGAGTCTCTCCTCATCTCGGCCTGTGTGTGACTTTGACACCTTCTTCAGGCTTTCCTTGCTCAGACGTGGGCTCTTGCTGGCGCCCTTGCCGGGCGCTCAGGGGCTCGGGGACGTGAGTGAGGCATGTAGGCCAGCGGCATGTGGCTGTCACTGGGAAAGCCACGCCTTCGCTGTCCGTTGATGGCCAGAAGTGCGGGGGCTGAGCTCAGCAGGCCCTGGAACAAGTCTGCCCTCGTGACTTCAGACAATGGGCCCCATTTGTCGGCTTGGGTTTCCTGATTTCTTCTTTACAAAAACAGGAAGGAAAACTGGTGATGTCCCTTGGCAACCCCCCCTCTCACCCCCGGCTTTTAGTCTATGCAGTTAGTTCTCTCTCTCTCTCTCTCTCTTTAAATTTTATTTATTTATTTTGAGAGAAAGAGTGAGAGAGAGAGCACAAGCTGGGGGTGGGAAGAGAGGGAGAAGCAGGCTTCCCGCTGGGCTGGATGGATCCCAGGACCCCTGGGATCATGACCTGAGCCGAAGGCGGACGCTTCACTGACTGAGCCACCCAGGGGCCCTGCAGTTGGTTCTTATAATAAAAACATATTCTTTTTTTTTTTTTTTTTTAACTTGACTCTTAGAAGATCAAGATGGGTTTTTTAATGAAATGTTAAAAATCAGAATTAGGAGAAAACAGTACCAGACAAAAGAGGGAAAGACTCTAAGATTTTCTTTGTCTCCCTGTGTTCCCATCTTGCTCCACCACCAAAACCCAGCAGAGGAACAGAGTGTTTTTCAGCAGACGCGTGCCTCCGACAGACAGAAAGACCAGTGTCATGACCAACAGTACACATGGAACCCTGGTTCTCTGAAGCCCTTGCAACATTTCCCTAGGAAGTAGGCAGGCTTCCGTTTTTGTATGTGAGCATTTAAATAGGGCAAAACAGGGAGAGGAGAAGGAGTGATCGTGAAGCATCAGGGGAGGGAAGCATTGGGTCGGGGGAAGTTGTCAGATGCTCACTGGATGGGCTAATGGGGTGAGCTCCCCGTGTCCTCCTTGGCCTCCTAGTAGACAATCTGCACGGAAAGAATCGGTCTAAAATGTCCTGGCTGAGCACCTTGGCTCTGCTCTCAGTACTATTCCAAGATAGCCATGCACCTGCCAATGATTTCCAGACGGCACGCTGGAACAGACCCTCAAAGGAAGGTCACCTCTGTGCAGGCTCCTCACTGCACAGATTGCCTCTCCTTCCTCTGCCTCTGGCGCTGCACATATTAGCACTACGTCTGACTTCAAGGATTGGTGCTTGGAAACATGAGTATTGGTGCTTGGTTCTCGTGTTGTGGGCTGGTCCTGTCCTCATCCGAGTGCCACTCTAGAGCACGTTCCCATAATAGCTCAACCAGCCTTTCATTGCGCCTTTAGCACTAGGTCACTGAGATTTTGTGGAGCACTTTCTATGAGTCAGACACTGGGCTGATTGTTGGGGGGGGTACAGCGGTGACAGGGACAGACACACAGTCCCTGTTTGGGGGAGACAGCAAACGCCAGACGACAGAATGATCTTAAGGGTGACAAGCCCCAGGAAGGATGCAAACCAGCAGCTGGATGGGGAAGAAAGGCAGGGTGTGGGGACAGTGCAGAGCATCCTTGCAGTGCAATGGGAAGCTGGCATTGACCCTGCAGGAGAGGTGCTGAGAGCAGGTGGCAGCCAGGTGACAGATGAGGGGATGCTGAGAGGTAGTTTGGATCTAGAGCCGGTGAGCATTATGGATGCACAATGAGAACGATGCATGATGAAAAAGAAGCAGAAGGAACCAGGAAGCTGCCAAGGTTTCTAGCTGCTGAAGGATGCTTGGAGAGCTGCTTACTGGGATAATAGAGCAACAGGGGACCCAGGATGGGGGAAAAAGTTTGAACTTGGGAAAGTGCTCTGAATCAGAAAGACAAATTTCAAGCAGTCAGCCTACAGATGTGCTGGCCTTCAAAGTGCATGTGATCTGGTCAGGAATAGAGTTTGTAATGAACTGTAGCATGCATCACAAAACCAACATTTATGTTAAATAGAAAACCAGGCAAGCAGAGGAACACCCACTGATTCGGGGGAGGGGGCTTTGCTCCAAGAAAGGACATTTGAACTGAGTCCTGAAGCATGAGCAGCATGTGGAGGAGGGATCTGGGCCGAGGCACAGTCTGGGGAAGGACTCATACTATCCAGGGAAGGAGGAAACGGTGCGTGCAGCATGGATGGAAGGCCAGGAGATGCAAGGCTGGAGAGTTACCTGTGAGGGCCAGCTTCCAGAGAGCCTCATGCGTCACACTGCACACCCCAACCTCCGGCCACACAGTGGATGACCAGATGCACCGCCCGAAGCTCTGGCCATGGGAGCCGTTCCCCAGCTGTCATCTCTCACGCCACCTCTGAGTGGCTGCAGGTCAACAGTGGATCATTTGGGCTTACACCCTTGCCAAGCTGATGTACCCACGATCGTGGGTACATCAGCTCCGATTACGCTCTTGCTTGGTCAGCCGGTGATGTGGACTGGATCTGTGCGCCCTCCCCAACCCCCCAGTTCCTCTGTTGAAGTCCTGACCCCCACTGTGACTCTACCTGGAGATACGGCCTTTACAGCTGTGATTAAGTTTCCAGAGGCCATAAGGGTGGGCTCTGCTCCGATAGGATGAGTGTCCTTTAAGAAGAGACATCAGAGAAGTTGCCCTTTCTCCCTGTCCGCCAGCTGACGAAACCCTGAGGAGGCAGCCATCTGCAAGCCAGGAGGAGAGCTGTCCCCAGAACTCAACCCTGCTGGAACCTTGATCTCAGACTTCCAGCCTCCCAAGCTGTGAGGAAACAAATTCCTGTGGTTTGTGCCACACATTTAGAGTGTCATTGTTATGGCAGCCTGAGCAAACCAAGCTGGTCCAGGGGAATTTCCCATAGTGCCAAAGTTGTGAGCAGCCGAGAAGCAGCTCTCTCTCACCTCTGTGCTCGTAACTGTTATGCTCCATATTGGATAACAATAGTACACCCCTTGCCCTGACCATGGTCGGCTGGGAGGGACACGTGGATCCTTAGAACAACACGTTCTGGATGCCTCAGATGGTCTACTGGGATGACCCTACTGGTGAATGTTAGCCAGAGATCACAGTCCAATCCTTTTCATTGAAAACCAACAAAGACTCGGTCCCTTAGAGCTGGAGAAAGGTTATGGCCATTCAGAGCTTCTCAGTGAATATATCTTAGGAACGCTAACCTTTTGGAAGTACCTGGCCCCTACTGAGCCGGGCTGTGGGACTGGCTGGTCCAGAAACTTGCTCGAGAAGACATCTATCCTATTTTCATATTTTCCCCTTTTCTGCTCTCATCACCACCTCCATTGTGATTAAAAATGCCAATCAGTAAAGGAGAAGACTGCCATTTCAAATTCATCCCTGAGTCCTTGGGCTCAGGAGGGACTCTGTGCTGGCAACCTCAGGTGCAGACACCTGGGACTGGATGAAGGAGTCATTCCTCTGTGTGACCAGCAGAGAAGGCAGAGGAATAGGACAGATGCACACACATCGCAGAATTGAGGGAGGGCTAACAGGTGGCACCACAGTTAGCAGCTTGGCTGCCTGGGTCCCATGAAAGCTTGTAACTGGGCCAGTGGAGAGAGTGGTAGGATTTATTCATGATGTAGGCCATGGTGAGGGGAAGGGGGAGGGACAGTTCA